TCCTTCTTTTTCTCAAAGAAGAAAAAAATAGAACATAGTATCTACTGCTCAATGAACAGGTGGTCACTGTGACACATGGTAAAGAACTGGGAGTTTGAAATGAACAAAGTAGAAACTCCAGGTGTTTGTTCATTTATTTAATATTTGCCTGTATATCTCTTGTGATTCCTGAAAGGAGAAATGGCAAGTCTCACTGTGCAGCAGGACCCCTTGAAGGTAGGGATCAATGCAGCCCCAAGACTTCCATGTGGGGTTTGGAGCACAGAGATGACCAGAATGGGAAAAGCTATACAATAGAGGGTAAAGCCTTGGGGAGAAGACAGACTCTAATTAATACCTCTTGCTGCTTACTACCCTTAGTCCTTAGATAATCTTACTAAGGAATCAGCACTAAGCATTTATGCCATGTATACATAATGAATACTGGGAAGTATGTGTGTGTTGATATGTAGATGTGGATTATTTGTTTTACACTATTACAATATTATATAGGCAAACATAGCTAAAATACAAGTCGTCTTTTTTTAATGTTTATTTTTGAGAGAGAGAGAGACATAGAGTGCAAGTGGGGGAGGGCAGAGAGAGAGGGAGACACAGAATCCAAAGCAGGCTCCAGGCTCTGAGCTGCCAGCACAAACTCCATTGTGGGGCTTGAACCCATGAACTGTGAGATCATGACCTGAGCCGAAGTCACCCACTTAACCAACTGAGCCACCCAGGTGCCCCATAAAACGTAAGAAGTCTTAAAGAGGATGGACTCATTATCTTGTGTCAATCTCATCTAAACCAGGAATCTGCCAATAATAGGGCGACCAAATAAAATGCTTAACTTTAAATACTAAATAGCTATTTACCATAACAGCCTATTGAACATTTGTCTATAGATCTTTCATCTAAAGTAGAGTTTTACATTTGAATTACTTAAACATCTGATAATATAAAATGAATATGGATGGCAGCAAGTTCCCGTAAAAAGACCATAAACTTGGGAATCCTAAGAAAAGACCTGATGTTAAACACCATCTTCGTCACTTGCACTTATTTTTTTTGGTTCCCAGTTTCTTCCTACCCATTTTGGTAAAATAATAACCACTTCATAAGTTTTCAGGGGTGTGTTTTGTCCTGCGGCATATGACAAGGCCCAGGAGCGACGCCTGACTTGTAAGGCATCTACAATGATTGTTGATTCTACAACCACATCACTCACAATGAAAGGATGTCCTCAACAAAAGGCCACACACATCCTGTACGAAGCTCTGGAAACAGAAGTGAATGTTCCAGACATCTCTGCATGTCCGTTTCCACGGGGGTTACCTTCTCTTTTAGATGGTAGAAACACCTGATCTAGTCTCAAATTAATTGTTAAGTATCTGGATTCCCTGTCCCACTAACCAAAAGTGGCTTTGTTTCTGTTTCCCAGGAGGTACCATGTGTCAAGGTGGCCCCAGAGAGCCTCCAACCTTACTGGGACAATGATCATCACTTTCTGATTTCTCATTTGGGGCTGTCATCCCTTGGAAAGCCACTATGATCTCAAGGACTTTGAAAATAAGTTTCCTGAGAAATGGAAGGAACGGGAAAACTAGCTTTGTTGGACTTTTTGTTTGTTGGTTGTTTTTGTTTTGCCTGACGCCCCCCGCCCCCAATGAGGTAGAAAAAGTCCAGCAGACACCAAGCCTAACTCCATTTCAAATTCAAAATGAAAGAAGTTCCAGTTTTCCAAAATTCAGAAACTCTTCGTGGGGAAAGAATAAAGCAAGAGTTTTCCGAGCCAGACTTCAGGAACCCAGTCAGCACATTTTTCAAACTTCTTTTTACTCGTTTCATTTTTTTTTTAATTATTTTTTAACGTTTATTTATTTTTGAGACAGAGAGAGACACAGCATGAACGGGGGAGGGGCAGAGAGAGAGGGAGACACAGAATCGGAAGCAGGCTCCAGGCTCTGAGCCATCAGCCCAGAGCCCGACGCGGGGCTCGAACTCACGGACCATGAGATCGTGACCTGAGCTGAAGTTGGACGCTTAACCGACTGAGCCACCCAGGCGCCCCTCATTTCATTTTTTGAGAGACAGGTCTGAAATAACGGATGATTTTCCCCCCTTTCTGAAGCTGGGTAACGTGACAGCTTTCAGCAGCCTCTCTCGGTCATAAACGTGTTTTAATGGACTGATATGTGCTTAATAACACAGGCAGCACCTGGCTGCTGTAGAGCACAGTGCCGCCAGGGCCTAAACTATATTAAAACTGCGTTATTGACCTCAGGCCTACAAGTCTCTGTACTCGAACATTTCACCGATTAGAGAGAGAAACAGCCTAGCACCAGCTCACATTTTTCTTCTTCAAATAAGGAGGGTTGCAGTTGAACTTCTGTAACTCTGAACATGAAAAATACTGTTTCTAAGTGATTAACTCACCTCCATTACTGGAAATTTTATAAATTTTATGAAAGTATTTCCTGTGATTGCACAAATTGGCTCCGCTTTTACGACTATGCGGTGAGGTCCCTTCTAGCGATAGGTCTTGAGTCAGTAGGGGAGAGAAATTTGCTAAAGAGCTTCTCAACACTGGGCTTAGGATTTCAGATGCATTATCTCTGTTAATCACCATCACAGCAGTCTCCTGATGTAAGAAAAATTTTTTTCCATCTCACGTAATACACAAGCCCTGACATGGTCCCCAGTGATCCCCAACTCTTAATATCCACAGCTTTGTATAATCCCCTTGGCTCGGGCAAGGCCCAGACTTATTTACTTGTTTCTACTGAAAAGAGCATGTAACAGTGAAGGAACACCACTCCCAGGGTTAGGTTATAAACAGACAATAGCTTTTGTCTCGCGAGTTCTTTCTTTTTCTTGAATCACTCATTGTGGGGTCAGAGTGTTATCATTTCATGAGGCAGCCTTCTGGAGAGGCCAGGGGATAAGCTTGGAAATGGATCTTCTGAGGCCTGCCAACAGCTGTATGCGTTAGCTTGGAAGCAGACTTACTCAGAGTTGAAGTTGAAGATGAAGGTGGCCCCTGCCAACAACTTGGTTGCAGCCAGAATTGTCCAGCCAAGGTGCCCCTGGATTCCCAACTCTTATAAATTAGCACACAATTAACATTTTCAACCACTACCTTTGGGTCCAGTTTGTTACACAACCATAGATAACTAATACACTCTCACTGACAAGTGATACAAAGCCAAGTGTATTCAGGGACATAGAACAGTAAGGAAAGGCAGTACCTTTTGAGTCTAAGTTTCAGACCCAGGCTCTCCCATTGTTCCAGGGGTTCAATGGATTTTTTTGTTCACTTATTGGCATATGAGGTTCTCCCGCAGTGTGACCTAATCTTAGGTATTAAGGCATGTCCTTTACTATGTAAGTCAATTTTTTCTAATTTATTTGGAGAACAAAACTCACAGTCCAGTGGGAAAAGAAAGACATTTAAAGAAAAATGCAATAGAGTGTAATCCAGGATGGATATTGGCTCAGAATGCACAGAGGAGGGGTGTTTGATGCAGACTGTAAAGCAGGGAGGCTTTTCAAATGATGTGTTGACCTAGGAACTGGCCTTGGCCCCTAATATAATGTGTGGCACGTGGTCTAACCGTAGTAAGCTATAAGTATTGCTTCTGGAAAGACAGGAGACAGTAAGATGACAAATAGAGAAACATGGAGAAAGTTCTACCATTCCATGTTGCAGAAACAGCAAATGAAAGAGTCAGAGTTTGGAAAAACATGACTTATCCATAAATCTATTCCATACTGCTACATATTAGAATCTATATTATATTACCAAATATGTACTTTCCAAACTTCAGCAATTCGAGGACCATTTAAAACAATATGGCCATACCTATGGGGCTCCTGTGTGGCTCAGTCAGTTAAATGTCTGACTTTTGGTACTGGCTCAGGTCATGATCTTATAGTTCATGATCTTATAGTTCAAAAGATCAAGCCCCACATAGGGCTCTGCACTGACAGCATGGAGCCTGCTTGGAATTCTCTCTCTCTCTCTCTCTCTCTCTCTCTGCACCTCCCCCTAAATAAATAAATAAATAAAATAAACTTAATTTTTTTTTTTTGCTGAACCTAGATGATGTATGTATCAGTATTCATATAACATCTTAAAAATATTATGTTAAAAACTTTTTTCTTAAAACTCGCTAATTTTTACTTGAAATAAAATTTGATGGCTGTAAAAGGTCCGTGGTCATGTGTGTGTGGTATACAATGAAACTGCAGCCATCGAAGTCAGACAGATTCAGGATGAAATTGTAACTCCGTCATTTATTAACATGTGATTTTGAAAGTTCCTTCGCTTCTGTGACTTTTCGTTTCCTCCTCTACAAAGTACCTATAAAATACCTTCCTTGAACAGGCATGATGAAGATTCTATATAATAGATGCCAGGTCTGTCCAGACCCAGCAAAGTGCTCCGTAAATGGTCTATATTATGTCATATTTAGATAGAAATTCTTATTCCCACGACTGGAACCAGTCTGACAAGGAACAAGGGAATTAAGAGACTTTTCAAAGGTTCAATAGATACATCTGAATTCAGTGGTGTTTTGTTTTGTTTTGTTTAGGAAAAAAAAAGTTAAAAATGTTGCCTCTTCAGGGCACCTGGGTGGCTCAGTCTGTTAAGCATCGAACTTCAGCTCAGGTCTTGATCTCACAGTTCATGAGTTTGAGCTTAGCATCAGACTCTGTGCTGACAGCTCGGAGCCTGGAGCCTGCTTCGAATCCTGTGACTCCCTCTCTCTCTGCCTTTGTCTGCCTCTTTGTCTCTCTGTCTCTCTGTCTGTCTAGCTCTCTCTCTCAAAGATAAATAAACCTTCAAAAACTTAAAAATATTTTTTAAAAATGTTGCCTCTTCATACTTAGAGTAAATCTGTGAATACTGGGTCATCCCACATCCCCGAGCTGGATTCTATATGTTTTAGTCAGAATCTCAAACATCTGTCAACTAGGCCAAACCAGAAACCGAGCTAGTGGCTGTCAGCACACCGTACCTGTGAGGATCTCAGCTGTGCGTTCTGTCATTTTCTGAATCACGAGTCTCACGGTTCCACCCTCCAGGCTCAGCAGCAGGGTCCCCGAGCCCTCAGACAGCTCTGTGGACAGAAGCAGACCATCCTTGTTCCATGTTCGAAACTGGAAACTCACTGAGAGCCCATCAATTTGGGGGGTGCCGGGCAGCAGCAAATAACTGCTGCTGGAGTTGACAAATGTGATGGGAACAATTTGTGGTTCGGAGCAGGAAAAAGTGACATTGCCCTGGAAAACAATAAAAATCAAACATATAAAAGCCATTTTTTATTCTGCAATCTGACAGCTGATATAAACAACCACCTGGTGCTGACCTTAATTTCAGGATCATTCCACATTCAGCTGCAAGATCTTAAAGGGAAAGAAATACGTCGGCTTTGTTCAGATGTACCTGCGAGACTATTCCCACTCCTGTTTTCTGGAGTGTTATCTTCAAGAAGGCCATCAAAGACCCCAGTTGGGGTGGGGGGTAAAGGGGTAAGCATCAACATTTTCTAAGGAATCAGACAGGAAAGCAATTACACTCATCCACTGAATAAATATGTACCACAAGTCAACCATGGGCCAAGCAGGGGACAAAGTTTAGAGAGATACACATGAAACAAGTTTGTTACAATGTGGATGTGCTAAAAGAAGGACACGAAAGGTCCCAGGGGGGGCCTGGTAGAAGAAATAACTATACAAGCAAAGGTTTCACAAGGGAGGTGATGCTTTCCTGGAAGGAAGCGGGGGAAGGAGAGAAGTGAGTGTGCCCCGCCAGGCTTTTCAGCAAATAAATGGCACATTGTGTGGGAAGGTTTGGATATAATAGCAAAATGGCATACCTGGGGATTACAGGGAACTTGTCATTTCTGAACATAATATGGGGCAGGGAGGGCCAGGGGCCATGGAAGAGGTCGGACCAGAAAGATAAACAGGTAGAGTTTATGTTTGCTAAGTTATCATTCACGTTTAGAAAAAATAAAGTGACAGCCATCTGATTTCAAGCTATGAAGATTTTCAGCAGCATGGGTTGCGGGGCGGAGGGGGGGGGCGGTGGGAAGACTAGAGGTGGGGAATATTAAGTGTGCATAGACTAGAACCAGGAAGACGCAGAAGAAGATTATCCTTTGCCTAAGTGAGGGAAACTGGTCCATGTTTATTGGAGGATGATTAGAGGATGCGTTTACATCAGGCAGTTACAGGAAAATAAAAAAAAATATTCCAGAGTCACTTCTGCTAGGTCAATAAAGAGAGAGCCTGGGATACCTTATAAATTGTGAATAGGTGTTATGTTATAAAAGCCATTTGGAATTTGTATTGCAAACCCAGCAGCCAACCACATCTTAGTTTCTATCCCTACCATTTGTCTCTTTTAAACTCCAAACTAATCTCCACAACAAAGCAGCAGGCTTATTCAGGTAGCATAACACAATATTCTCATCTAAATAGTCATGGACACATCATGTTTCCTGCAAATCCTTCCTTTCAAGGCCGCGAATGGTCTGTCTTTGCATGATGCTAGGCTCAGCCTTCTAAAGACACTCTTACAGGCACTTACACACAAAAAAAGACAGCGATTTCTAAAAGTGGGGGGAATGCCCTGCCTTAATTGGCCACCTGAGTTCACCTTTCCACTAAGGTGGCCAGATAGGGAGGTTAGATACCTGGGGCAGCCCCCAGTACCAGAGCAGGTGAATCATTCAACTCCCAAATCCCCATAGTCCAGGAAAACATCCCTAGATCCCAGCCAGGCCCGTTAATGATATTCTTACATTTCTGAAGGCAAGCAGCAGTCTCCAAACACTAATACCAATAGCATATTTCTGAGGGTCTGCTCATCAACTATGCCGCTATGAGCATATTCTTGCACTAATCATTTGTTGTCATTGTTTAGATGTTTCCTCCTCTTTGAGCTAGATCTCCAGAAGTTAGTTAATGGGTCAAAGGGTAAGGCCTTGATATCCATCAAGAAATTGTCTATGGCTCACACTGCCCACCACACCTGGCAATAGACTAAGCACTCAACCATGTTATCTCATGTGTTCTGCACGGTAACACTGCCTCCATTTAAAGAATTCACAAACCGGGGCGCCTGTGTGACTCAGTCGGTTAAGCGGCTGACTTCGGCTCAGGTCATGATCTCGCGGTCTGTGAGTTTGAGCCCCGCGTCGGGCTCTGTGCTGACAGCTCAGAGCCTGGAGCCTGTTTCTGATTCTGTGTCTCCCTCTCTCTGACCCTCCCCCGTTCATGCTCTGTCTCTCTCTGTCTCAAAAATAAATAAACGTTAAAAAAAAAAGAATTCACAAACCAGCTTCATGAAGGAAGGTAAGAAGTTTAACAAAAGCCACCTGCCTCCTTAGCAGGGACAACGGGACTCTGTTTGTCTGCTTGTCTGACATGGAAGGATCTCCTTTCAGCCACCATCTTTGATATGTTCTTTCTCTGTACCAGGTACAACCGTTCTAAAACTTCTACCCATTTGCTCATGATATCCATTGTTTGAATTTGCACATTTTAAAATTTTCTCGTGGCCTTCTTTTCAAGAATGAAAACATCCCCACTGATGGCCGACTGACCGAGGCAAAGCTGTCATTTTGGAAGGAGGAAAATCATAAACACTCCTCTAGCAAAGTTCAGAGATAGCAGTCCTTTTCCTCCTCTTTTTCACTTCCTGAAGTCAGTATCCCTCCTCTGGTAACAAATTTGCCAGAGCAAGACTGTACCCAAAGTTGGAGGCTATGCAGAAAGGGGAACAGTTGGGGGGCAGTGATGGGGTGGAAGGTAGAAGAGTAGGAGGTCATACCAATGTCCCTGTTCCTCCACTGGTCTACAATCCGATGTTGAGCTCAACCCAAGCCATCCTCTGAGTGTTCTATGGATCCACAGGCATGGGGATGGGGGCCTAAAGAAACTGTGATTCTCCTCTGATCTGATCAGTTCATTCATATCTGACAGGTCTCCCTCAGACTCGCTTCATCTACTCAGTGTCCAATGGGCCTCAGCTCAGATGCTTCTTGAAATAGGCAAGGGCAAGGCCTCAGCAAGCCTTGAAGGACACTCAAGTGTCCCGGCTAGTCTCTGGTAGCAAGAAATTCAGATAAATGCCTCAGGGATTCTCCCCAGTTAAGGTAAGGCCATGTGCAGTGATCAACACTGTTGACATGCTCGGGGAGCGGGACAACGTTGAAATGCTTTGAGGTGTCCCTGGTTCACTACAGGTCACACTCCTCCACAATCCTTCACACTGTCCTCGGTTGCCCTTGCCCTGGGGCAGCTGCTTGAGCTGTCCAAAAGCTCCCTGCTCTTAGAGCACAGCCCTGCTCAGTTCTCTGACTGCAAGTCCAAAAACAAACAAGTAGGAAAGAGATGGGAGTAGACTGGAAATGCCTGCAAGTGAGTGTTTCCAGCTCAGCGCCCCATGCCACAGCTGCCATGTGCCATTTCTGCATATAATCCTGTCTCAGTCATGCTTGCTGTTGGCAGAAATGCCACAGTGTTGAGAAACATCTATACCAAACCCCACCCCCATCTCCCCAGTAGGGAGAAAGAAGAAAAAATCAGCTAAATGCACAAGTGCTACTTTTGAAGTCAGCATGGATTATTTCATCTTTCTCAATAATGCCATTTGTGACTTTGGAATCCTTCTCAAGGCAGCATTTGAGGGAGTCCCCGCCATGATTTAGAAACAGCATGAAGGAAGGCAATTCACTTTAGAACAGTGTCAAAACAGAAAGTGGCTAAAAGTCTACAGATTGTATTCTACCCCTTCGATCTATCAATTCAACTTTCATTCCATCTCCCACCCCACCGCCCTGCCAAGAAAGAAACTCCATTTCTCAGACTCTCTACTCCACTGCACATTGAATTCATTGGAGAATTCAAGAACCCTTCACGATTTCTCAAGCACTGTAAACCAATGTGCTTACACATAAGTTATAAATGTGATCTTAATCCTTTGCATTAGTCCTTAAATGTACATTTTGACTGATAAGTACAGAGCATGCCATGACACAGGAGTACACTGTGGCCAAATCTTCACGATAAATCAGCCAACCCTGGCTCTGTAGATGAGATTAAAAGGAAGTCAGTAACACTGCCACGGGTCCCTTTGCCCCCTCCCTAAGTTACAAAACCTGCAGTGTCCTTTATTGTTCAAAAAAAAAGTCACTCTATGTTGAAGAGGCTAAATCCTTGGTACCTGATGTATTTCTCCTGGCAACTCCACCATGTCCTGATTGGATGGTGACCCTCCAGAGGCTGCCAGTCAAGACTGTGATAAGGCCTCCCCAAGGCAACAACTGCAACAGGGAGCTAGAGCCCCTGAGTGAGGACCTCACTTTGTCCCCAGGATGGCAGTTCTTAGTGCCCTGTGCTTTCACGTTCATATAAGCCCATCCTCCAAAGGGTGAGATACCCAAAAATGCTGGAACCAAGATAGAGCAGGTAGCTGTCCATTAGAGACCCCCCAACAATACCTATGTTTCTTCTCAAGGATCCACCACGGCCTTTTCTTTGAAACCCTTAAAACACAGACGTTCCCACCCCACCTTTCTCACACAAGAGTGATCTCTGCAGATGGAACACCGAACTTTGAAACCCTAAATATCTGTTTATAGGCCATACTAGAGAGACTTCCCATATCTGTGTAAAAACAGTGTTTCGTACCATAAACAACAAGAGCTGGCACTGTCCCCTGTCATGAACAGCTTTACAGCCTCCTACAGATGGTCATGACTTGAAACCTAATAACCAAGTCTGTGTCGGTGAAGAAAGCAAACTCTTTTCATAGATTCATCCTCCCCAAGGAGACCCTCCATCCAGAGGGCAGAGAAGAATCTCCACATCACTAATTGCTACAAAGAAGCAGTACATGATCTCACACAAAGGAAGCCCATCCTAATCTGGAAGTTTACGACAGGCTTCCTCAGGGAGGCGACATTGGAATTGAGATTTTACGGAAGCAGAGGAGAAGCAAAATGGAGAGTAAGGAAAGTGTTGTTATCTGAGTACAGCGGGAAAGCATTTGCTAAGGCCGGAGGCAGGAAGGTGTGTGGCATAGTCAGGGACCTACAAGAAGGTCAGCTGACTGCAGTTCAACAGTCAGCATGTCAGCAGGCAAGATAAAGTGGAAAGGACACAAAGAGACACAATCGTGTAAGCCTTTAGACCATGTTGAGCTACTAGAACTTGATCCTATGGAAACAAGACAATGGGAAGGGGGTGAAGGGGAAACAGCTGTAGAGTCT